TCTCTCTCAAATAAATAAATAAAATCTTTTTTATTAAGATTTTATTTATTTATTTGACACAGAGAGACAGCAAGGGAGGGAACACAAGCAGGGAAGTGGGAGAGGGAGAAGCAGGCTTCCTGCTGAGCAGGGAACCCGATGCGGGGCTCGATCCCAGGACCCTAGGTTCATGATCTGAGCCGAAGGCAGACGCTTAACGACTGAGCCACTCAGGCGCCCCAAATAAAATCTTAAAAAAAAAAAAAAAGAAATGATCAGAGGCTTGGATCAGAGATGTCTCCAAGGAGCTCAAGAGTAGTAAATAGGCTCTGGGGATGTTTAGGCCGGTGAGGGAGGGGGTGACATGATTCCCAGGTTCCTGGCTTGTGTCCTTAGAAGGATCATAGGGCCAGTCACCAAGATGGGGACTCCCAGAGGAGTTTGGGACAGTTTGGGACATTCTAAATGGGATGTGCCTTTGAGATACACAGAGGAAAAGGTGAGAAGGAAGATAGCAGACCACAGCTCAGAGAGGGGTCCAGGCTGGAGCTATGTTTGCGCATGGGGTGGTAATTAAAGCCATGGTGTGGGGAAGACCACTCAGTGGGGAAGAAAAAGGGATGTACCCCTCAGCCTTGAGAAATTTGGGCATTTTGGTGCTGAGGAGAGGAAAAGAGAGTGAGCCTGCAAGACAGCTGGGGAAGGAGCAGCCATAGAGAAACAGGGGAAGGTCAGAAGACTCCTGACCTGGAAGCTAAGGGAAAAGAAAGCTTCAGGAATGAAGGTGTGGTCAAAGGCTGCTGAAAGGTCAATGAAGATGGGGACTAGACTGTCTGCAGGATTTGCATAGAGGTCCCTGGAGATCTCAGAGCTGGTTAGGTGCAGAGGTAAGGATGGAATCTAGCCCACCTGAAGCCCCCCTACCTCACCTCAAGCATTGCACACTTCTGGTCATCCGTGTGTGACAGTAAGAAAATGGTAAAAGATGAAGACTTATTGCATCCTTCAACTCCCAGCATATTCCTGTGGCTCCAGCTGGAAGCCATCCCTAGCCCCGCCCCTGGCACATGCTTTCCCCTCTGGGCTGAGCCTACCATGCACATGCTCGGGGTGCTCCCTTCATTGTCTGGTCTGGATTCGGGGAGGTGCCTCTGACTCTGAAGACTCCTGACAATGTCTACGAGCTGTTCCACCAACTCCGCCAGCTCACGCCCAACTTCTGGGATGCTCTTCTGTGCCGCTGCCTTTAAAAGAACAAAGCAGAACCCAAAGCTGGACCCAGGACCCAGCTCTAGACAGAGGGAGCTGTAAACACTGCATAAAGGAAGCAGGCAACAGAGTGACAAAAATATCCAGAGGACAAGGAGGTAGATGCCCCAGATCTTTTGCATGCCTACTGATTGTCCAGTGGCCATAACAGGGAACCAGAACCCGTCCCCAGGCTGGGGGGCGGGGTGTGAGAGTGAAGCCTAAAGGGACGTGCGGGCTCATCATTCTGAACAGAGGTCAGAGCAGAGATGCTGAAAGCCTGGCAGGGTGGGTGGAGCTGGTAAGGTGAGTGGGGCAGTGGAGGGCATTCAACTGGAGAGGTTGAAGACCCACTCTCACCAGAGTCATCCTGTGTCCTCACCATTCCTTTCAAATTGAAAGTGACCCTCCCTCTTTCTCCTCTTCAACAATGCAGACACTCTACCAGTTTACTGTGCAGGGATCTTGGAGACTTTTTTTTTTTTTTTAAGATTTTATTTATTTATTTGAGAGAGAGAGAAAATGAGAGAGTGCGTGAGCAGGGGAAGGGCCAGAGGGAGAGAGAGAATCCCAAGCAGACTCCCCACTGAGTGTGGAGCTCAATGTGGGGCTCGATCCCAGGACCAAGGCAGATGCTCAACCCACTGAGCCACCCAGGTGCCCCAGATGTTCAAACTTTAAAGTGATGCACAGATACAAGCTCCTTTTATTTGATTACTGACATCCTCCAGATTTAGTTTTTACTTTTTAAAAGACTTTATTTTTGGAATGCCTGGGTGGCTCAGTCGGTTAAGCATCTGCCTTAGGCTCAAGTCATGATCCCAGGGTCCTGGAATCGGGCTCCTTGCTCAGCAGGGAGCCTGCTTCTCCCTCTGCTGCTCTTCCTGCTTGTGCTCTCTCTCGCTATGTCAAATAAATAAATAAAATCTTTAAAAAAAAAAATAAGACTTTATTTTTTTAAGTAATCTCTACACCCAACACGAAGCTCAAACTCACAACCCTGAGATTAGGAGTCACATGGTCTTCGAACTGAGCCAGCCAGGTCCCCTGACATCCTGACCATTTAAAGCGACACTCAGACTAGAGGGCGCTAAATAACCCCTTTTAAAGACCTTGATCTGCTCAGCTGCCTGGCTGGGAGTGGAAGTTCTGCTGCCAACATTCTGGCAACTTCCAGATCTGGTGGCACTCATCAGAGGCAGGCAGGGCCCAGACTTAAATGGTGAACATTGCATTACGTCCAAAAGGGGTCCTATACAGAGTCACAGAAATACAACGTGTTCATTATCCAACTGTCAATAAACCAGAGTTTTTATAACTTTTTTTTTTTTAAAGATTTTATTTATTTGACAGAGAGAGACATAGCGAGAGAGGGAACACAAGCAGGGGGAGTGGGAGAGGGAGAAGCAGACTTCCCACCATATCACATTTTTAAAATCATGCTGGGACCTCAAAAACTGGAAATGACCCAGGACCTTCTGCAACTCTAAGAAGCCTGATGTCCCTCAAAATAGTATGTGTTTTGGAAGCCATAATCAGGCTACTTTAGAGAGGGAGGTAGCCGACCACTGGTAACACCATTTGCTCTTAAATTTCCAGGCCCCACTCCTAAATATTCAGGTGGCTGGAACTGAAGAGAGGAGCCCTTATCCTGGCACTGGAGAAAATTAAAAACTTAAAAAAAAAAAAAAAGTATATTGTTTTTTCTATTCATAAAAGAAATGCACACTCATTACAGTGAATTTAGAAAATGCAAAGCATGAGGGGCACCCGGGTGGCTCAGTCGGTTAAGCATCTAATTTCAGCTCAGGTCATGATGTCAGGGACCTGGGACTGAGCCCCAAGTCGGGCTCCCTGCTGAGTGTTGTGTGTGTGGGGGGGAACCTGCTTGTCCCTCTCCCTCTGCTACTCCACCTGCTCATTCTTTCTCAAATAAATAAATAAAATCTAAAAAAAAAAAAAAATGCAAAGCATGAGAAAGAGGGAATGTTTTAAATCATCCAATATTCTACCATCCAAAAACAATCATTCTTACTTAACAGCCAATGGGAAGTATATTCAGTTATCATAAGCAACATTAGCAAAGAGTTTTAAAGACCTGAGGGATAATGCTGTATTTATAATAAAAAAGAAGAAAACAAATTTTAATCATAATCACAAAAAAAAATGGAAGCAACCAATATGTCCCATCAGAAGGTGAATGGATAGATTGTAGTACATTTATGTAATGGAATATTTTTCAGGAATAAGAAGAAGTGAGCTATGAAGCCACAAACCATAATTTTGCTTAGTGAAAGAAGCCTATCTGGAAAGGCCAGAAATTGAATGATTCTAACTGTATGACATCCTGGAAAAAGCAAAACTAAAGAGACAGTAAAAAGATCCACAGTTGCCAGGGGTTGGGGTGAAGGTACAAAGAGGTGGAGCACAGGGGATTTTCAGGGCAGTAAAATTGTATGACACCATAATTGTAGCTACGTGATATCATGCATTTGTCAAAACCTATAGAACTGTACAACACAGAGTGAACCCTAATATCAACTGTGGGTTTTGGTTTCAATTGGCAATAATCACGCCTTGGATAAACTCATTGGCTACAATACTGCCACCGCGCAAAGCTCAACTACAGATTTTAGTGAATAACGTATTAATGTTGATTCATCAATTGCAACAAATGTACCGCACCAATGCAACTGTTAATAGTAGGGCAAACTATGAAGGGCAAATGGGGACTTGCCATACTATCTGCTCAATTTTCTGTAAACTTAGAACTGCTCTAAAATGCTTCTCCCTCTGCCACTCCCCCTGCTTGTGTTCCCTCTCTCGCTGTATCTCTGTCAAATAAATAAAAAATCTTAAAAAAAAAAAACTGCTCTAAAAAATAAACTCTATTAATTAATTAAAATTTAAAAAAAGAGGATATAACCTGGTTATACAATGTGACCTCAACTCTGTTTAAAAATATTATCGGGGGGGGGGGGCCTGGGTGGCTCAGTTGGTTAAGCGACTGCCTTCGGCCCAGGTCATGATCCCGGAGTCCTGGGATCGAGTCCCACATCAGGCTCCCAGCTCAGCAGGGAGCCTGCTTCTCCCTCTGACCCTATCCCCTCTCATGCTGTTTCTCTCTCTCTGTCAAATAAATAAATAAATCTTAAAAAAAATAAAAATAAAATAAAAATAAAAATATTATCGGGGGCATGCATGGGTGGCCAGTCCGTTAAGCATCTACCTTTGGCCAGGTCACGATCCCAGGACCCTGGGATAGAGTCCCGCATCCGGCTCCCTGCTCAGTGGGGAGCCTGCTTCTCCCTCTGCCTCTGCCGCTCCCCCTGCTTGTGCTCTCTCTCTCTCTGATAAATAAATAAATAAATCTTAAAAAAAAAAAGAAGAAGAAGAAAGATGTCAAATCAATCACCTAAATTTATACCTCAAGGAACTAGGGAAAAAAGGGCAAACCAAACCCAAAGCTAACAGAAGGAAGGAAATAATAAAGATTATTGGAAATAAATAAAATGGAGAATGTAAAAACAATAGAGAGAATCAATGAAACAAAAGTTGGTTCTTTGAAAAAATCAACAAACTGATAAATCTTTAGCTAGACTGATAAAGAAAAAGAGAGAGGATTGGAAAGCAAGCTGGTGCAGCCACTCTGGAAAACAGTATGGAGGTTCCTCAAAAAGTTGAAAATAGGGGCACCTGGGTGGCTCAGTCGTTAAGCGTCTGGCTTCAGCTCGGGTCATGATCCCAGGGTCCTGGGATCGAGCCCCGCCTCAGGCTCCCTGCTCCGCAGGAGGCCTGCTTCTCCCTCTCCCATTCTCCCTGCTTGTGTTCCCTCTCTCGCTGTGTCTCTCTCTATCAAATAAATAAAATCTTAAAAAAAAAAAAAGAGTTGAAAATAGAGCTACCCTACGACCCAGCAATTGCACTACTAGGTATTTACCCCAAAGATACAAATGTAGTGATCCGAAGAGGCACCTGCACCCCAATATTTATAGCAACAATGTCCACAATAGCCAAACTATGGAAAAAGCCCAGATGTCCATCAACACATGAATATATAAAGAAGATGTGGTATATATATATAATGCAATATTCCAACAGCCATCAAAAAAAATGAAATCTTGCCATTTGCAATGATGTGGATGAACTAGAGGGTATTATGCTAAGCAAAATAAGTCAATCAGAGTAAGACAATTATCATATGATCTCAATGATATGCAGAGTTTAAGAAACAAGGCAGAGGATCATAGGGGAAGAGAAGAAAAAATGCAATGGGACGAAACCGGAGAGCGAGACAAACCATATGAGAATCTTAATCTTAGGAAACAAACAGGGTTGCTGGGGAGGGAGGGGGATGGGGGTGGCTGGGTGATGGATATTGGGGAGGGTATGTGTTGTGGTGAGCACTGGGTGTTGTGTAAGACTGATGAATCCCTTGGGGTGCCTGGGTGGCTCAGTCGTAAGTGTCTGCCTTCGGCTTAGGTCATGATCCTGAGGTCCTGGGATCGAGCCCCACATCAGGCTCTCTGCTCAGTGGGAAGCCTGCTTCTCCCTCTCCCACTCCCCCTGCTTCTGTTCCCTCTCTCACTGTGTCTCTCTGTCAAACAAATAAATAAAATCGTAAAAAAAAAAAAAAGACTGATGAATCACAGACCTATACCCCTGAAACAAATAATATATTATATGTTAATTAAAAAAAGAAGAAATGGGGAAAAAAAAGAGAGAGAAGACATGAATAACTAACATCAGAAAGAAAGTAAAGTGGAGACATTACTACTAACCTTACAGAATAACATTTAAGAGATTATGAACTTTGTATGCCAACACATTAGATAACTTACATGAAATGGATAAATTCCTAGAAACACAAATTACCTAAACTGACTCAAAAAGAAACAGAAAATCTCAACAGAGGTATAACAAATAAAGAGATTGAATCAGTAATCAAAATCCCAACAAAGAAAAGTCCAGGACCAGATGGCGTTGCTGGTGAATTCTACCAAATACTTAAAGAAGAATTAATACCAATCCTTCTCAAACTCTTCCAAATCATTGAAGAGGATGGAACACTTCCTAACTCCTCAGTGAGGGCAGCATTACCCTGATGCCAAAGCTAGATAAACACATCACAAGAAAATTACAGACCAATATCCCTTATGAATATTGATGTAGAAATCCTTAACAAAATACTAACAAACTAAACCCAACAGCATATTAAAAGGATAACACATCATGACCAAGTGGAATTTATCCCAGGAATGCAAGGTGTTCAATTTAAGAAAAACCAATGTGATACACCATATTAACAGAATGAAGGAAACACACATACACACACACACACACACACACACAAATTATCTCAATTGATGCAGAAAAGACATTTGACAAAATCTAACACCTTTCATGATTTAAAAAAACCCTCAGAAAACCAGGAATAGAAAGGAATTTCCTCAACATAATAAAGAGAATTTATGAAAAGCCCACAACCAACATCATACTCAATGGTGAAAGACTGAAAGCTTTCCCCCTAAGATAGGGAACAAAACAAGCATGCCTGATTTCACTTCTGCTACCCAACATTGTACTGGAAGTTTTAGCCAAATCAATTAGACAAGAAATAAAAGGTATCCCAATTGGAAAAGAAGAAGTAAGATGATCTCTACTCACATAGGACATGACCTTATAAATAAAATCCTAAAGAATCCATAAGAAAGCTACTAGAGCTAGTAAATGAATTTAGCTAAGTTGAAGGGCACAAGATCAGCACCCAAAAAGAAGTGTATTTTTATACACCTGCAGTGAACTATCCAAAAAGGAAATTAAGGAAGCAATTCCATTTATAACAACACCTAAAGGAGTAAAATGCCTAGGAATAAATTTAACCAAGGAGATGAAAGGACTTATATTTTTGGAACCTACAGAACATCACTAAAAGAAAGTTAAAAAGACCTAAATAAATGGAAAGACATTTCATGTTTTTGGGAAGAAGACTTAATATTATAAAAGATGTCGTACCCTAGGTGACCTACAGATTCAATGCAATCTCTCTCAAAATTCCAACAGCCTTCTTTGCACAATGGTAACATTAATCTTCAAATTCATATGGAATTGCAGGAGACCTTAAGAGCCAAAACAATCTTGAAAAAGAAGAACACAGTCGGACGGACTCACACTTTCTGATTTCAAAATTTACTACGAAGCTATAGTAATCACAACAATGTGGTACTGACATAAGGACAGACCAAAAAACCAATGGAATAGAATTAGGAGTCCAGAAATAAACCCATTCATCTACGGCCAACTGATTTTTTATAATGGTGCCAAATCCACTCAATGTAGAAAACAGTCTCCTCGACAAACAGTGCTGGGACAGCTAAATTTCCACATGCAAAAGAATAAAGTTGGACCCCTACCTCATGCCATATAGAAACATTAACTCAAAATGGATCAGCAATCTAAATATAAGACCTATTACCATTAAACTCTTGGGTGAAAATACGGGGGTAAATCTTCATGAACTCAGAATTCGGCAATGGATTTAGATATGATGCCAGAAGCAAGAGCAATAAAAGAATAGATAAATTGGACATCAGCAGAACTTAAAACTTTTATGCATCAAAGGACACAATCAAGAAAGTAAAAACAACCATAAGATGGGGGAATATATTTGCAAGTCATATATCTGATAAGGGTTTAATATCCAGAATTTATAAAGATTTCCTAAAACTCAACAAGAAAGGGCACCTGGGTGGCTCAGTCGGTTAAGGGTCTGCCTTCGGCTCAGGTCGTGATCCAGGCCTGCATGGGGGGGGGGGGTCCCTGCTCCGCAGGGAGTCTGCTTCTCCCTCTGCCCCTCCTCCCACTCATTCTCTGAATCTCTCTCTGAAGTAAATAAAATCTTTTTTTAAGATTTTATTTACTTATTTATTTGATACTTATTTGATTTACTTATTTTTAAGATTTTATTTACTTCTTTGACAGAAAGAGACACAGCGAGAGAAGGAACACAAGCAGGGGGAGTGGGAGAGGGAGAAGCAGGCTCCCCACTGAGCAGGGAGCCCGAAGGCAGATGCTTAACAACTGAGCCACCCAGGCGCCCCTGAAATAAAATTTAAAAAAAAAAAAAAAAAACTCAACAAAAAAAAGACAACCCAATTTTGAAAAACAGTCAAAGGACCTGAATAAACATTTCTCCAATGAAAATATATAAATGAGCAATAAGCACATGAAAAGATGGTCAGTCAACATCATCAATCTCAGGGAAATGCAGACCAAAACCACAGTGAGAAAGCACTTCACTCCTAATGGGAAAGCTATCCTAAAAAAGTGGCAGGAGGGGAGAATCAAAATAAAATGAAAAATAACAAGTATTGGCAAGGATGTGGAAAAATCGGCAACTCCTACTTTGCTGGTGGAAATGTAAAATGTAGCTGTTTTGGAAAATGGTTTGGCTGTGTTCCTCAATAAGTTGAACATAGAACTCCCATACCACTCAGTGAGTCCATGCCTTAGGTATTTACCCAAAAGAACTGAAAATAAGGACTTGGTTACGTGCACACCAATGTTCCTGCATCGTTACTCACAGTCACCAGAAGGTGGAAACAATCTGAATGTCCATCAGTGTATGAATAGATAAACAAAATGTGGTACATTCATACAATGGAATATTATTCAGCCACCAAAAGGAACAGAATTCAGGTGCATGCTACAACATGAATGAACCCTGGAAACTCGGTAAGTGGAAGAAGCCAGACACAAAGGGACAAATACTATATGATTCCACTCACATGAAATATCTAGAGTAGGCAAATCATGGAGACAGAAAACAGACTGGAGGTTACCAGGGGCTGCAGGGAGTTGGAATGAGAAGTTATTGCTTAAGGGGTGCAGAGTCTCTGTGGTGATGGCCTTGTGGCAACAGAAACTGGTGATAGCTGCACATCACTGAGAATATAACTAATGCCACTAAATTATACACATAAAAAACGGCTGAAATGACGAATTTTATGCTGTATCTTACCTCAATGTAAGAATGTTCAGAGACAGAGGAAAGACTGGAAAGAAGTGGAAATGTGCCAAGAAGTAGCTAGAGCAGCCAGGCTGATTGGATGTCAGGAGACTGGGGTTCCCCCCGCCCCCAGCTTCTTCATACTTAGAAGCCGGAGTGCTCAGAGTGAGACCAGCCCTGCGAGAGCAGGAAAGCCGGGCCAGATGCGAGGAAGAGCCGGTGCGCCTCCCTACCGGCTGCTGGGCGGCGCGACGCGGGGGCGCGGGCGCAGGCGCGGAAGGGGCGCAGG